AAAAAAATTTAAAAAAAAATAATCTCCTACAAAGTTATTAGCTGCCCGCTCCCGTCTTGTCCATCGCCCCAGCCGACCGCGGGCGCTCCATCAAACAATCAACCTAATCAGCCTTACCAGCGACGCTTGACCTGTCGGGTGTTTTCTGTTGCTCTCTCGCTTTCTCTGTCTACATTTATCACTGTACATTTTTTTTTTCTTTTCTTCCACATCATCAAAAGAGTCTCCAGTCGCTTCTATACATACATACCTTGACAGAGTACTCCCGTACGTTATCCGTACTCCTCCCTCTTCGTCATCTCTCGCCCTCGTCCTCACATTCCTCCATCCCTCCCATCCCGCTATTGCTCTCCCACATACCTTGCCTCTCGGAGAGCCCACTCGCTTTGTTTCTTTCTACATAATCAAGTACGCACCTGCACCCTTATCCCTCACCTTGGTCTCCTCGCCTCCCTCCCTCACGACCAAAGCGGGCAAAGTCTCTCCTCAACAATCAACCCTGTGCTTCGCGCTAGAAACTCTGCCCCCCACCCCAGTCTGCCTGGTTTTGCTGACGCCCACCGTTCTCCCTTCGTTTTTTAGTCCGCGCGCCATAGACGATTCCTGGAGAAAGTTCCTGTCGCAAGAAAAAGTTTACACCTACATCGTATATAATTCACGAGCGGAAAACCCAAAACTTCCCACAAGCAGCTGCGCCCTCGACGTGTGTGTGCAGCCACATAGACAGCCATTCAACCTCTGCGTCCTCGCTTCTCGCCAGCCACCACAGCACGCCTCTGTGTGACAGACAGACCAAAGAGCAGCAAGCAGCAAGCAAGGTGCATCCGATCTCACCACCGCAGCCGCGAACTTCCCCCCCTTCGCCGCACCAAAAAGTCAACCTCCGGGAACCCTCGCTCCTCCTCTCCGCATCCCCCGGACACTCGACCGCATCTTCTGCAACCGTCTCTCCTGCGCAGAGACCGACCACCGACATGACCACCACCGTAAGTCGCTGCCCCGTTTACTCCACGTGAGGTCCGATGGGGGTGAGCCCCGGGTCGCAAAGATGCGAGCGCGCGGCCGTGTGTGTCAAGACTGCGCTTCCCTAGCGCCCTCATGGCCTCTTGGCTCGAGTCGCCAATTCGGCGCTCGGAACTTCGCCTAGACCTGGCAAACAGCTCAAAAAAAGCTTGCCTCGCGCCTTACTTTCTCCTTCTGCTGTTCCTTTTATCCTACTACACCGATGGCTGCCACTTTGCTAACCTGCCACGTTGTCCAGGCCCGGCCAGCAGGTCGGTACGGAAGCTTCCCCATGGCAAACGGCCAGAACGAGAAGCCTGCTCCCGGCGTCGCCCCCGGCTTCGGCAGCTCCAACTTGTACACGCAAAACATCTGGAACACAACGTACACAGGAGGCGCAGGAAAGAGAGATCCCAGAGGTACGTTTGGCCGGGACGCTGATTGATTGATGTGCCTCGGACCGGGACGCTGACTTTTGTGATTGACCAGGCCCAGAAGACAGCTTCGCTGGACAGCCATCAGGGTCCGGTGCCCTTGCTGCGAACTCGGAGGCGGACACGTGGACTCAGAATCCCTGGAACCAGGACACCCAAACTCGATCAGCATCAGGCAGCACCTCGCCGAACCGCACACGCGATAGCATCCATAACAGCAACTCCTTCTTCGACAATAACGCCGTCGGTCAAGGACGCAATCTCATCAATGGTCGGCCGAAATCCTACCTGGAGGAGGACAAGGAAAACACAGGCTTCGGGCCCAGCTACGGCAGCGCCTTTGATGGGTCGTACGCAAGGCAGGAGAAGCGAGGTTCCAAAGACAATGCGTATTTGAACCTTGGTGTTGTGGGTGCTCCCTCGAGAGACAGCAGCATTCCTCCCTCGCGCCAGTCGGACGACTCGCACCATTCTCCCCCTGCCTTCCGAGACAACTTTGGGGGGTATGGTCACACTCCCAGCAACTCCATTGCCTCGAGCCGTCCCGCCATCCCTGGTCACTCTTCCTCCTTCCCCACGCAGACAGCCAACAATAGGGCCTTCATGGCCAACGGCAGACAGATGGACGAAACGGACCTGGCCCCGCAGTTCAAGAAATCTCTCACTCTCGACGAGGCGCAGAGTCTCGCCGCCGGTGCGCAGAACTTCCAGTTCAACCCGGTGTCTCAGCCCTGGAGGGGCGACATGAACGCCGCCATCACTGGCGAAATGTACGTTGACGCCATGGCTCAGTACATGGCGCCGAAACGCGGTTCCACCGACCGCATCGCCGGTGCCTCTGGTCAGTACCGGGTTGTCACTAGCCCCAAGACATATGCGCCTCAAGCGTCCGACCTGTGGACCCAACGGCCGTCGTCCCGCGATCTGAGAATGGTCCCGGATGGCGACCGTCGAACGCCGGTTCCGGCTTTCATCCAGGCGCAGGCTCCCGCGTTCTACCCTGGGCCCTACTACACCCCCAACTTTGCAGGCCAGTACCCTCCGCAAATGTTCGACCCTTATGGGCGTCCATCGCTTCCTCTGCCCGGCTACGGCTTGCACATGTCGCCGTACTCGATGCCGGGAGTGATGCCCGTCCGGCCCAGCAAGGACCAGGACCCTGGCAAGGGCGTCCGCAGCTTGCTCCTGGAGGAATTCAGGTCTAGCTCCAAGTCGAACAAGCGGTACGAGTTGAAGGACATTTACAGCCACATTGTCGAGTTCAGTGGCGACCAGCACGGATCGCGCTTCATTCAACAAAAGCTCGAAACTGCCAACAGCGACGAGAAGGATCAGGTATTCCGCGAGATTGAGCCCAACGCCATCCAACTGATGAAGGATGTCTTTGGCAACTACGTCATCCAAAAGTTCTTTGAGCACGGCAACCAAGTCCAGAAGAAGGTTTTGGCCTCACAGATGAAGGGCAAGGTCGTCGACCTGTCCATGCAGATGTACGCCTGCCGCGTTGTCCAAAAGGTGTGTACACATTCGCGTAGAAAAGAGTGGACGAAGCTAACAATTACAGGCTCTGGAACACGTTCTTGTCGAGCAGCAGGCCGAGCTGGTTAAGGAGCTGGAGCCCGAGGTCCTCAAGGTCGTCAAGGACCAGAACGGCAACCACGTTGTGCAGAAGATCATCGAGCTGGTTCCTCGCCAGTACATTGACTTCGTCATGGACGCGTTCCGCGGTCAAGTCAGCCAGCTGGCGGCTCACATGTACGCCTGCCGGGTCATTCAGCGCATGTTGGAGTACGGCACAGAACAAGACAAGGAGACCATCTTGGCTGAGCTGCACAACTCGACGCAGGTCCTCATCACCGACCAGTACGGCAACTACGTCGTGCAGCACATCATCGAGCACGGCATGCCCGAGGACCGATCGAGGATCATCCAGCTTGTCATTGCACAGCTGGTCACTCTTTCCAAGCACAAGTTTGCGTCCAACGTTGTGGAGAAGTGCATCCAGTACGGTAACGCGGAAGAACGCAAGGGCATCCGGGAGCAAATCATCTCACAGGCGAGCGATGGAACAAGCTCGCTCCAGTTGATGATGAAGGACCAGTACGGCAACTACGTCATTCAGAAGCTGCTGAACCAGCTTGAGGGTGGCGAACGCGAAGCCTTTGTGGAGGAGATGCGACCCCAGTTCCAAACCCTGCGCAAGACCAGCACCAGCCGCCAGCTTGCCGCCATTGATAGGCTCATCTACGCGACGACGCAGACGACGCCGTCCAAGTCTGGGGGATCCCAGGCCGACACCAACTCGGCCGCGCCAACTCCGGTCCTGACGATGGAGCCCAACAGCCCCCAGAGCAGCAGCCCGCCCAGCACCAGTGCTAGTGCTGTTGGCGAAGTTGCCGAGGACGACAAAAAATCCAGCGCGCCCGGAGGCGTCAGCCTCAAGGTGCAAGTGGAGGAGGCCTGATAACAGTACACGAAATATTTTTGCGATGACGGCGTCTACGGTTACTTCGGACATGCATCACGACACCAAACGGATTTGACGATCCCGGCCGTGGGTTAACGGTTCCACGTGCCAGACTTGTTTGAAAGAGAAAAAAGAAAAAAAAAAGACGACGAACACCTACCTAATTCTGTTTACACATACCTGATCTGAATGTGCAAACCCAAAAAAAAAAAATTTCCCACATACATGGCTGGAACACGGTCACAACGGTAGAAAAATTGCTTGGACAAATATTCGGGGAAAGACGGGGTTCCCAAAAATGGACATGATTCTCTGTTGCTTTTTGGTTGCAAGTTTTTCTGGTCTTCCTTTTTGCAAAGTAATGAGTCTGGGTATCTCTGAGAGCGATTGGGGAGGGTTATCACAGGAACGAACAATGGCTGAGCGATACGAATCGAACCTGGATGGGGCGGCCGGTGGAATTTGAGGTTCCTATCCGGGGGGGTTTTGTCGGGTTCACAACGGGGGCATCAGGACCGGTCATTTTGGGGCGCAGTTGATTTTATCCAGTCTTCTTGTATTTTATTGAATTCTTCGTGTCTAAAGCGATACCAGTCTTAGTCCGACGGATTAGACCTGTCAATAGACTTGAGAGTATGGAATGTTTCGGATGATCTGGCTTTGTGCGTGTCTGAATAAAGGGATCCATTTGTATTCATCCAAGGGATCGTTTGCTGTGTACCAGAGCATTCAGATGACCTCAACGCTCAGGTCAGTGTACGTCCTCGGTAGATTTTCCGTGGTTTCGGCAACGGACCCGACAGCGAGGTCGGCATCGGGATTGCCTTAGATAAGCGACAGGGATCCACACCAATGACATCAGGGGGGAAACACCCTCCAGACCGGTATTAAAAACGTCGGGTTCCTGAGCTTAGCCTCCGACATTGGACCCCGTGCCCCCACGTGTCCAAGCATCGTGGAAATTAAGTAACGGGTGCATCCGCTGCCATTTTACTTTCCCATTTTCCACCCCAAATTTCCCAATTCCTTTTTTTTTTTTTTCTGTCTCCTACAACAACCACACCACAACTAGACGATCGGATACGCGGATACACACGATGCAGCCTGCACGATTGACATTCCTCTATCCGCACCTATTCCGGACGATACGCGCCGGCGAAACGGCGGCGACGACGACAAGCCGCGCGGCGTCGAAATCATGTCGGAGACGGACTCCCGCCGAGGTTCGGGGACGGGGGTACGCCGCGTTCGCGCCTACGCCTGGGGCGCAGCAGTCGGGGTTCGCGCCGAGACACGGGAAGGGCATCGAGCCTGTGCCGACGGCGGGGACGACGATACCGCCGGTGTCGGTGCCGGTGCCGGTGCCGGGGAGTGAAGGGGAAAAGGAGGCGAGTCCCGGGCAGGCTGCGGTCGGGGCGTCCAAGGGGGCGAGCGATGACGGGGTGAATCCCAAGACGGCGGCTGCGGCAGCGGGGGCTGGGACGGCGACGGCGACGGCGACGAATACGGTATCGAATGCGGCGGATAACAACGCGGCGAATGCGACGGCTGCTGCGTCTGGAGAGCAACAACCCCCCGAAGAAGCAGAGGAAGCCAAAGCCGCGAAACAAGAAGCCCGCGACCAAGCAAAGAAGAGCGGGCCCCTCGAAGCCATCCTGCACATGGGACCCCCCGAACAAGTCGCCAAACAACACCCGCACATGGCGCCCACGCCCTACGTACACCATTTCGACAGCTACTCTCTCGTCAAAGACCTCGAGGGCGGCGGGTACAGCAAAGACCAGGCCATTACGCTGATGAAGGCGATCCGGGCGATTCTGGCGCAGAACCTTGATGTTGCGCAGGAGAGCCTGGTGAGCAAGAGCGATGTGGAGAATGAGACGTATTTGTTCCGGGCGGCGTGTTCGGAGCTGAGTACGGAAGTCAAGAATAATCAGAAGCTTGCGGATGAGGAGATGAGGCAGAAGAGGACGTTGTTGCAGCACGAGGTTGATATTTTGACGCAGGGGCTGAATCAGGAGCTTTTGACGTTGAATGATAATGTGAGGGGGATGTTTAATGATCGGAAGATGGCGGTTAGGGAGGAGCAAAAGGCTGGTGATAGTGTCGTGAGTACTCCCCTCTACCCTCTTTCTCTGTTGCCTTTTCAAAGGTCGATGGTAGGGATGTTGGCTAATACGGTTGACCAGATCCAACAAATCAACTACAAAATCAGCCTTCACCTAAGCAGCGACGCCAAATCCGAGATTGAGGGCCTGCGATGGATCCTGATCCGGCGGTCGGTGATTGGGATCCTGTTCATGGCGGTGTTGACGCTGGGCACGCTGCGGTACGGGACGTATGTGAGCCATTCGAAGCAGGCCGAGGCGGAGAGGATGAAGAAGCAGGCCGAGATGATTAAGACGGCGGATGGGAAGAGGGACCATAGTTCTGCACCTGATGCGGCTGAGATTTTGGCGGCGAACTGAGGTGGTGATTGAGGAAGGCGGGAGGCACGAAACATGGCGATTGGGGTGGAAAGGATATCGGGATGCGCGAGAAAAGGAGAGCATGGGTGAAGTTGAGGTGTGAGGTGTGATGAGGAGCGAGAAATCGTTCGGTGAGGCGCGGATGAGGAGCGAGCGAGGGGCGAGGTGAGATCATTTCATGTTGTAGGTGAATGCGATTGGGATACCCCGCGGACGCGCAGGAACGGGAATGACAAAGATTTAGAGTAGCATAGTGAGACGGGAGAAAGACGTCAGGCAATCTGACATAGCAGATATCTGGGGAAAATAAAAGGGTAGAGTGCATGCGGCGACGGCCTCCCCGGTTAACAGATTGTGGCTATGCCCAAGTTTAAGAGATTCACGTCCTTTTGGTGGCGATGAGTAGGTATGACCGCCACGATGAGGATTGGTGTTCAGGGGTGCCGGACTGTTCGCTTCTAGACCCCCCCCCCCCATGGAAGCCGCCAAACCATTCAATGTCAACCAACCATTCACGTACACCTTGCAACTGGCAGAGCTGAGGTGTCGCAGCGTGATCGACTCAACACCGGTGTAACACCGCGGAGATTGCCTCTGCGTTGATTGGAAGATGTGTCCGTCGGGTCGGTGACGAACCTTTCGCAACAATCATAATCTCTCACGAATCGATTGGCGGGGTGGGAACTGAAGCGACGTTCATCTGAACACCAAAAGGCCAACAAAGTTCCTTCCAGTTAACGAATATGCAGTTTCATTCGAAATTTCGCCATCTCAATTCTTTGAAGAAGTTGTCGGGAATATGATGATTATGAGGATGGCAAGTGTGTTGATGAGGTGTTGAGGCAAGCCACATGGGCTCAAGTGAGACCTGGTTGGTCTTTCTGAGAAATCTGCAAGCATCACGAAGCCAAGTGTACACCTGCTTGACCCCTTCAAAGTTCAGCTGTCAGGAAGCCTATTCACGAATGCCAGAACCATCTGTGTCCACATCTGCAGGACCAACGCAGAAGCCAGGGATCAAGCTCTGTGCAGGGATGTGCTACACCTGAGGTATCTGCGAGGGATCTGCAAGTGATCTACTGGTGAAGAGGTGACGGGCTTGGAAGATGTGCTCGCATTCTGTCTCTTCGTAGACAGGCTTAATCGAACGAACGGGGAATAGCATATCTCACTATGTGTGCGGATTCCCCTGCAGGAATAGAACAAGAGACTTACTTCTGGTTCGGATTCGCGCAGGTAGTCTATTCAAGCTGACAAATGTGGGAGTCTTTGGTGCAGTAATAGCTGTTAACCTCAGTTAAGCGTGGAGTGCAAAATACAGCGTTAGGAGCTTGGCTTTTTTGACCAAGGTAGATTCAGCACAGCTCTCCATATTCGTCCTAGTTACCTTAAGTAAGTGCATTGATGAATCAGCTTGACCACTGGTTCCTATTTGTAAACTGTCCCACCGGTTGGATGAGGTAGCATGGGAGGAAGTATTAACGACATCCAGTGCCGCCCCTCCACTTCCCCCAAAGACCCCGCTGTTGTCCGGGCAAGGGGGGATTGGGGCAGTAGGGAGGAAAAGGTGCTGCGAAAAAAATGTTCTGAGCTTCTCCATGACTACGGGCGGCTGCTGCGAAAGGGATGCGGTCAACTACCTGCCTGGTTGCTAGACATGCGGGGGAGGGGCAGATGAATTAAGCAACAATTTAGCGGAACGGCGACGTATTAGTCAATATCGTGATAATTAAGTTGCGGGCGTGCTCCTCGGCTCCGCCGCCGCCGCCGCCAGAGGCATACTCAGCCACAAACCAGTCGTGGTCCACGTCTCGTGCGAATGAAGAGAGCGGCGTCTATGCCTCTAATCACGTAGTTGTTGGGGGATGAGATGGTCCAAGTACGGCCTCAGGCAAGACTTCTTAGGCAGAGACAAGGCAATGGAGAGGTGTCACAGCCCCAGACGTAGTGTAGTGTTGGAGCAATCGACCAGTAGCAATAAGCTGCATGCCACCCTCACCCGCGCAACACCGGCCACTGCTCGGGCTGGGTGGAGCCAGACTTTCTTTCTCAGGAGATAGTATGTCCACCCAACATCTTTGGAAAAACAAGCATGGATACACTCCTCGTCGTCTTCCCTTCGACACACTTAACACACCTGGAATGGTTCAGCAATATGGAGGCTCAAACTCCTCACTTATTCAAATATAAATTCAAGCGGTAAAAATGACCATCCACCTACTTTCTCATGATGGGAGCAGACGCGCCAAGGCCCTCGTATCTCTTGTCTCATTTTCTGCCTCAAGATCAACAACCCTTATGACATATCCTCCGAACGCAGTAGAAGCAGAACGACAACGTCGCCATGCCGGTCGCAGGAAATAAAAAAGCCACAAAGTCACGGTGCCAGGAGCCCGGCTGCGATAGAACCTTTTCGAGTCCATCCAACCTCACGAGACATATCAACTCCAAGCACCGCGAGGCTGTTCATATGTCCTGCGGCAAACACTTTCCAAACCACAAGTCGAACATCAAACGTCACCAGGAAACCTGTGGCTGCGAGGTCTTGGTTCAGCCCACGATTCCTGCTGGGGAGAATGACTTTGGCCTCGACGACACTAGCCTTTCTATGGTGTGGGGAGCCAATTTGTTTGATCCCACTGGGAGCAGTCCAGACTCGTTCTTCTAGTAAGAAGCTTCCTAGCTATCATTCAACACGACATGGCTGAACGTTCAGCGTATGTTCGCGCTATCAGTATGAATATCGGCATCAAGCTAACCCAAGACTAGGGACTCTCACGTTTACGTTTCCTCTACCTGGAGCCTCTGGCAGAACTATGGACTTCTTGTACGACGGATCGGTTGGTCGTTCCGCGTTTCGCGTTTCGCTGCATGATTCCAAGCGGTCTGGCTGTATAGTTTGGGATTCTTTTATTTGTTGTTTCTTCGAAGCATCTAGCTGGCGGTTTCCGTGTTTATGAGGTCATTGACTTATGAATACATGAACTTACGTACTTCCATCAAAACATTGAAGTTACTCAAGAGAGGATTCCAGAAGGCATAGCTCTGGCACAGTCCGCTTCCCGTATTAGTGAATTTGCAGAGCATGGCGAGGCTGCGTGGTATCAAAAGTCCATATAAGTGCCAGGTGATATCTTCGCCGACGTGATTGGTCCTGGTAAAGTGATCGACCTACAGGCAAACTATCTCTATCACCTGCCTTTCTTTCACATTCTTAGATACGGTATTGTCTCCTAATTACCACGATTTTTCATTCAAAGCGTCACATCATTCTAGTCAAAAGCAGGATGTTCGACTATGCTTCTTCACGCACTTGGAATAACACACTTTCTTACCGAAGACACGCTCTCGAAAGTATGCTCTGAAAAACATGTCTATCCAGCTAGCCACGGGGGGAATAGTTGGTTGGGAACATCGGCTTATTTGGCGCCGCGCTGTGTAGTCCACTTGGTCAAACCTGGTGAAAGATGCAGTTGCTGTGAGTCTTTCTGCCATGCTTTCTTCCCGTTCTTGCTCCGTCTTCGTCATTTCGTGGGTTTCCGCAAGGTGACGGTGTCCCCTGATCTCGATCCGGCAAGGATCCCAACATCAAACTTAAGACAACCGGCTTCACTTCAAATTCTAGAAATCCATACTGGGATCGTGCAGAAGACACATCCAAGGACAATGTTACTTCGTCCGTGTCAATGGTCGGAGGGATGGTTATTGAAGCTTTGCATCAAGAGAGACGATCGTCGCCAGTGTCATTTCCAAACGAGTGCGGCGCGGGCGAGGAGCGAGGAGGCGAGGCTGTTCTATGTGGCTAGTTCGATACCTCATAGACTCACAAGTTTGGGAATGGCATAGAGTCGAGCAGGCTTTCTGTCCCCGAAATGGGTGACGCGATATGAATTTATTTTGCCTACCTGGGACAGTCCGGTAGTTCCCACACAGGCAACAATGATGGGTTCAGAGTGCGACGCCTGTCAAGTGGTGCAGGAGTACATGCTGTGCAATGAAGTAAATACCTGCCTCGGACATCACGGGTCTCGTTAAGCCCCGGAGAAAACTGTCTATTTCTCACCAGTCCCGCGATAATACATTAATCAAGAAAATGAAGCCAATGCCGTTTCTTTCCCCTGTTGAATGGTTCCGTAGGACTTTTTTGACTTCGCTCGTTGTCTGGTGACGTAACTTGCCCCAGGTGTGCAGCGGTCCCTGAACGGCGACTGCGGCGGGGGAATGTGGGAGCGCTAGTTACAATAAGCCCTGCTTTGGACGGCATCTGCGGTAGGGGCCGCCGGATGGACACGCGCCAGAGTCAGAACGCGCTATACTCCAGATGAGGTGGCCGGGGACTGGGTGGCGGTGTCGTGGTAAGCACACAATTCCGACATTGGTCTCCCTCTAACAACGTTTCGGTAAGGCGGCAAGAGTCGTAAGACACGGGAAATAAAAGAGGAGCGAAGAGTTGAGTGTGTCAGGCAGGTTTGGCTGCTGTCATATATGTAAACCTGTACGGATAAGGCATCGGGTTACCACACCAGCCACATCTGAAGCTGGCCAACACAATTTGAACTTGGCCTGTACGGTTCAGTCCGGTAGTTGCCATCCACAAGCAACAACATCAACACTCGGGAACCTAGCAAACGGCAGCTCAGCCTACCGATGCATTCTTTCTCTCCATTTGGTCGACCAAACTTTTCCCGGTCCCTGACTATCGTCTTCAGGGTTGCGTAAGCCACAGCGATGTCAAGCAAAGGCCATGAGGTGCCCTTGAGATGAGGCACACTTGCGGAAGCAGGTCCAATTCATTGGCCGGCTAAGTCAGAAGTCAGATCATCGATGAAATGAGGTTTAAGCATGTTGCTCTGATTGGCCGTTTTTCTATCGGGATTGGGGGGCACCGCGCCGTACTCGGGGGTGATGGAGGCGCGCAATCGAACCTGAACAACTGGGGATAGAGAGCGAAAGCACTCGAATGCCCCGCTTCCATCCCGCGGGCGGCAGCTGAAGGTACCTGGCCTGCCTCAGATATGGCTTTCAGTGCTACCTAGTAGGCACCGAAAGAGGTTAGTACACAGTCGTGCACACGACGACATGCTAAAGCTAGTGGGTGGGTGGAACTTACCCGACGAATTGAGCTTTCCTGCAATGGAACCATCCACCGTCGATTTCCATCGGAAAGCCGCAGCCGCACAGCAAGATTCTAGCCGCCATTTGATTAGTATAAATAAATCATGGCTATCACCAGCTTTACTGTCGAAGGGGGCGGACAAGCTATATCGAAGCTTTTCAGTTTGTCTTCCTGTTCCAGATCGACAGTCCTTGTATTGCATGTTCTGATGACGGTGGACAACGTCAAAATGCCTGTCCACAAGGGTGCAGTTACCCCAAAGTTACGCTGCGAAAAACCTGGCTGCGAGCTCACCAACTTTACCACTCGATCCATTCTCAAGAGGCATACCCAGTCCAAACACGGCATTCCTATTCACATGTCCTGCGGCAAAACTCTCTCAAATCATACGTCGAACATAAAGCGCCACCAGAAGTCGTGTGGGAAATCTTGCATGGCTTTGGACCAGCTCGCTCGTTCCGATGGACAAGTCAGCTTTGAATCACCTACAAGTGAGGCAACCGGTGCCACTGAAACCACGGACTTCGATTTCAACCACGGCTTTTATCCAGAAGAGTTCGGCGAGATGGAATTTCTCACTGAGGACTTCACTTTCGGGAATCATCAGTCAGAACATCGCCCCTAGCTCGACCGGTTCCCTCGCTGACTGATGGATTTGGTCAAATCGGGCGTGAGCACATAGCTCCCCATAAGGAGAAGCAGTCGCGGCAACTTTGAATTTGACAGGGGACATGCGATGAAGTATGGAGGTCTGATACCCCTCATGAGCTGGCTATTTCCTATGTCAATATCTTTATTCTTGTACTCAATCGCTATCTAATATACTCGAAAATTCGTTGATGCAACTTGCCAAAGACGAAGTCAAAGAGACTTCGGCTCGGTAAGGTACCTTGATGTGTTAGTGAACCCCACCAAATAAGGTTAGGTAAGCAAACTGGGTCGCCATCCAACGGCAAGCCTAAGACCTAGACCCTTGTACTCCGTAAGTGAGGTGGACCACGCCATCCATCATCCATTACCTCATTGAGATGTGACAGGGTTGAGCTTCCACGCCATCGGTTCCTCATGTCGGATTTTGACGGCTTGTGTGCAGGCGAATATGAGTTGAAGAGAGCGATGCATCAAGTGCGTCTCTTTATTCATCAGTACTGTACTTCTTGTCCTCTTTCATAGTTGTCTGTGGGGCTGTGAGGCTTCTTGCCACGATACAGAGTATTAGGTACGACGGGAAAGGTATCTAGTACCATTCACAACAACGCTTCAGATACTCCAAACTTGCACTCAAGTCTTGCATTAAGAGCTTTCAATCAGCCTGAACATTAGTGTCCGATAGTAATTGGGTCTGCCAGAGGCCACGTACTACAAGAGGACTACAGGCAACGAGAAGAAGGCAAAGCGGCAGCAACACTGCTGCGATTCCTGGTCAAGTACCTTGTAAGGCAAGTGGTAAAGTCGGGTGGCTTAATAATCCCTCGACAGGCAGGAGCGATGCTCAAATAAGACACGGTCGATGCGAGAGATAATCTAGCGTTCAGCAGGCTATTCCATACCATACTACATTGGGAAGCAATCCAGGGGCACACTGCTCCATCACGCCGCTAAAACCCGATGTCATCAGCAGCTGTATCTCGGCCGATATAGCTGGACTACCAGTAAACGATTGGGCCAAACCCCCATCTCCGCAGAGGTTCTGGCTAAAGTAACTATCAGAATGAATTTCCTAGCCAAATAGATGTTAGAAGAACGAAGCGGCGCAATCTTGATAAGGTAGCCTTTGATTTCCTAATAATGACCAGTGCTGCGTGTACCACTGGCATCAATTTGTAATCGCCGGGGTTCTATACGTCGCTATTAAGAAGTGCAAGTTCTCCTCAAACGTAACGGAGTAGGAGACTTGTCCTCGCCAGGTCAGTGACGAACCTCTCGCGACACCATTTTCTTTCTGAACTACGACTTTGACGGGTGCCACGCTCGAGATCGACGGCAGAGGATATAAGTGCTTCTTCTTCTGTATCTCTTTAGTGTAAAACAATAACTAGTTAGTAGATTATGATTATGTTCGATTTCTGGGGCATATAATGCGGGATTGCTTTTTCTCTTTGCTCCTTTAGAGGAATACAAGCGCAGATGCAAGTACTTATCTGTCGAAGAGCAGGCAGAGCGACGGGCGGAGAGGTACTGGCAGCATGAGGTATACCGAGACTAGGCAAGTTGCTGCCTTGTTCTTGGCACAACAGTGGCTGCGCGTGCCTTTATGTTCGGCCTCGCTGGCCATCTTATTTATTCAGCTAATGCAAAGTCGTTTTGAATGATCTTTTTAGAGATGCTTGCGTGCCAGTCGCAACGTGACTGCATTGTCTGAGGAATCCGCAAGTAAAGACTAGCGCTGCATGCACTTGGAGGAAGAATCTCCGTCCAATTGCGAGCTCCGGTGACATTGCGGATCCGGGTTACCGACCCCACCCGGCCACATATGCTCTGTGTCACCTCGACTTCGGTTACCGACCCCACCCGGCCGCATGTGGTTTGTGTTACCTCAACTTCACAGTTCCACCGTTCCGTCTAGTCGTTTCTTCCCAAACGCTAAAACAAGCCACCCACAACCACCGCAGTCTCTAGTCCAGGTATGGCAATCAAAAAAGCCTGACATGGAACGAACCATGTGTACAATGAATGCAGAGTAGGGTTCAAAAATACCAATGTACTCGTACAAGTACGTGTTTTGTCTTTTTTCCACCAATACCTTGGTAATAAGCACGTGCTTCTTTATTGGCATCTTGTGGTTTTGACCGTACAGTTGACTTCCCACTGAGGATGTGCTTGTGGCCAGGACCGCGTTTCTTCTGCTCTCACGCTCCACTTGTTCCCCGGACCGATTGCATTCCCTGTCAGGCGTGGAGGTCCTCGGCAGTCCCTGCGCGCCGCCAAGATCTACTAGCCCTTGAGAAGGGGGAGTTTCCAAGTTGCCGGATAGGGAGGGTAAGGTCATTAGCGATGAGATTGGACTGAGGGACAGGACATAGAGATGCTGCACAGAACGGGCGTGGAGCAACACCCGTTCAGAGATGGGGTTACTGTTGCAGTAGCACTATCACTGAGACTGCTGTTAAGACCAAAGACGGAGTCATTTTCACTAATCGGCCCACCGGCCGCGCACTACCGGTGTGCATCGCATGCGAATAAGGTCGAATTTTGGGCGGTGTGGTCTGCCCCTCATATGCAAGTTCTTCTGCCATTGGGCAATTATCGGCTCTCTTCCTCTCTCATTCTGGCAACGGAGAATACATGATGCCGTTGAGACATAGTGTAAGATTGCCCTTGAGACATATTGTGAGACTGCCGTCAAGACATTTTGTAGAAAATGTCTGAATTGACGAGGACCTGAAGAGCCGAAAACGTGACAAGTGACAGGATGCGAAGGCAGAAGGGAGTCAAGAAGAAGCAAAATCCCAGACGCCAATTCGCACTAGATGGGATATGCGCGAATTACCCCTAGACTCGTTGGCTACCACACTATATGAGAGGACTCGAGGAGTCCAAGAGGCTCTGCAAACCGCTGCAAGCTCAGCACAAGGCGGACCAATGTCATCCAGACGCACTACCCAGCCCGCGAGCGCACGCATCGTCAACCACTTAGAAAGTCGATGTCATCTGGCATCGACCGATGGTCACCAAGATTGAGGACGAATACGTACCATCTCTACGATATTATCATCGACGACCAGAGGAAAGGCTCCAGCGATGTGGAGGCCAGTACTGCTCCTCGTCTGTCTGATATAAAGCTGAGTGCAGGAATGTTCTTCCACCGACTGTCCCTCGACATTGATACCGGACACACAAAATTACTCTTCCGCCTTAATTGTACCTAGGAACTTTGAGATCAAGGAATACTATCTATAACTCATTTTCCGAGCTCAGCAGAATAACGCCAACATCCTCATGCCTACCGCAGGAACAGATGCAGGGTTGCGTTGCGAAGTGCCCGGCTGCAAGCACGGCAGAATCTACGCCAGTCCGTCTTATCTCAAGAGACACATCAAGTCCAAGCACTACCAGGCAGTCCAGATGTCCTGCGGCAAATCTCTTCCCAACCACCGTTCAAACATCGAGCGCCATAAGAGAAAATGCGGCTGCGAAATTCTGGTTCAGCCTCTGGTGCCCGCTGGGGGGTATGGCATTGGTACGCCTATGAGTGCCACCACCAATATCGCGATGACGCCGACCTTCGATGACACCTTTGATATGGTGTTCAATCACTTCAACAACGCGTACTATCCTGTGGACGGTAGTTCTCTTGGGCTCCCTTAGTAAGACGATTCCTTGTTTGAATGCGGTACCACACGAGTGAATATTCAGTACGTGAACACGCAGTCCAAACGAACATTGATATCGAACTAACTCAAGATTTTAGGCTCTCACGTCCTTTCCCCTTGACCTGAGCATTAGATAGATGTCGTAGGGTATGTATGGCGTTAATTGCTGCCCGTAATTAACGGCGTCGTTTTTGCGACAATAGAATTATGGGCGCCTTAGACTATGAGTTGTCTGATTATATCATGTTGCGCTGTGTACTTAGCAAGCGTTCTGTCTATCTCGCTTGGGGTTCGTTGGGGTGTTATCTCTTCGCAGCATCGAGCTGATGGTCATGAGTTTATGAAGCTATTGAATGAGTGGGTTCATGAACTACCGAATTTCCGAATGTCAATCAAGTTATTGAGACTACTGGTTGGAAACTCCAGGCCTTGCTCTGGTTCAGTCCGGCTTCCGTGTTAGTGAACATCGAGGGCATCCACAGTCCTTATAAGTGAATGCTGCAACAGAATCTAGACAGCTTGCCTGTTTGAACCCTTTTTCTATTCTAAGTTTACCATAGTGTAATTTAGAAAAGTCCATAGCTTACAAGCATCTCTTCACAGAATACGGATGACGTGCTCATTGCTCTAAAAAATGGAGAAAGGCATGGCTTGTGACATGCTCCCTTCTCATTGTCGGTGCTCCGCCTGCGTTATTTCGTGGGCTTTCGTGAGGCGACGGCGTCCCCTGGTCTCGATTTGGTGCAAGGTTCCCGAACTCAAATTCAAGCCAACGGGCTTCAGATCCCTTCCATATACACTTATATGATGCATCAATGAAGTTCAAGGAATATGGTCGTCAGTCCACCCCCGTGTTCGGCGTGAAGACGCCTAGACAGTCAGCCATTGTACTTTTCGATCAAGAGAGGACGTCAAGGCCGGTGTCATTCCCCAACAGGAGTCACCCCTGCACACTCTTAGGGATCCACCGACGAGATCAAATGGATGGTCTGGTAACAGGGCTGATCAGATTAGGAAGCTTATCCAAGCGCGTGCTAGCATGTTCATCCTCACATGGAAATGGTTCTCTCTATCTTTTCTGCTTTGGCGTATTGTCCTGAATGGAATCCAGCTCTCAAAGGAAACGACACGAAGTTTCTCGTGGTGTTGAACGTAGGCAGTAGAGATAGAGAGTGGAAAGACGGCAGTATGGTCGGATAAATCCCCGACCGAGACTTGTGTAAGTGACGGGAGTGAGCTCGGCCGGGAGCTACCGAGTGGCTCGTTTAATGAACCGGAGGCTTTCAGGCACACGTGCGCCCCCACGGAAATCGTTGCAACTGTCACCGATGTCGCCCAACTGCCCACCATCCAACCCATAGTTCGTCACGAGCTCTAATGCAGTATCCCGACAGCTTCTCTGGGCGTGTTGTCATCTTCACAATGGGTAGTGCTGGTCGCGCGCCGTTTGCATCAATCCATAACCATCTACTGGTGTTCTCAGCAGCCTCGACACGGAGTGCTTGCGTGGGGGCAAAGGTATCCCATGCCGAAGGTGAACAGGCCAGTCGACCCTGACTGATATGTAATAATGATATTTGCTTCTTTCAGCCAGCGCAGTTGTCTAGAAAGATGATGACAATGTCCCTAGTGAGTTCTGAGTTCGACAATAGTGACTCGTGCCGGGTTCAAAGCGTGGGCATCCACGCCAAGCGGCGGAGTAGGGCGTATATTCTAGAAGTCGTCCAACATGGTTGCTTGTAGTTGTGGTGGACTATGCTATCCGCATGCTTGTTCAGCTCTGCCTGAACCGAGTCCTTCCTCACCGCACGGGCGAAAAGCCCTGACGGCTAATGGGAGGAAGAAGGGAAAATCCGACAGCCTTGGAGAACCCTGGGTGGTGGCCCAGCCCAGGGTGAGGCAGCGCCGCATTCCACGGATCGACCAGTACCGTGGGTTCCTCAAATACAACAGAAAGTGCGAGACAACAGAAAAGAGGAATCACGACCACGACCACGACTCACAGGCCACAAAAAAGTGGAGAAATTATAGCAGCATGGCTCAGATTGGTCTGGGGGTGCTTGGGATTGAACGTGCAAGTGAGCGTGACGATGCGATGGATGCTACTGCTGCATGACGACAGGAGGCACTGAGGCAGAGCGACGCGACTCGATAACCGGCTACGGGGAAGGTGGGGCGGCGTTGCTGTGTCTTGGTCGTGGTGTGTGAGGGCAAGGCCAATTAGAAAATGAGGTTCGAGGGAAGGACTGAAGACGGGATGGACATAAGAAAACTGGCTTGTCTATTCGCCGCAAGGCCAGGAAATACTGGGGTTGATGGCATGGCTGGAGTTGAAGGGGTATGTGGTGGTGCATGATGTGTGAGACTTTGTCTCCAAGATCTTGGCTCCTCCTTGCGGGATCCCAGTTCGGGATTAAAGTAATATCGCAATCGAGAAGTTATAACGTCCGTATCCACTCTGATATACATGTTCATTGGCCCATGTGCCAATGAGTCTCCTCAATGCGGCATCCTACAGGCGTCAGTCGCGCGATGTGTCTGTTGTCTGGCAATTGCTGTGTGGTTATGAGGCTCGCAAATCCTCACAAGCAACGAGTGTAAATCAAGGGCAAGATACTCAATTCCCAATGATCGAGAGGCTCATACTGATCAGAGTCGGGCTTGCAACCTCATGCCTCAAGGTTCAGTTTCGAATCCACTGTATTATATCTCCTCTGTTGAGCCCATCGAAGCAAAATGTCCATCAACATGCCTGCCTCGAAGACAAAGAACGTCTTCAAAGTTCAATTGCAGCGAGGCCGCTTGCAAACTTTCGTTCACTAGCCAGTCAAACCTCAACAGACACAAGAAGTCGAAGCATGGTGACAACGTCCATATGCCCTGCGGCAGAAACCTGCCCAATCATACATCGAACATTCAGCGCCACCAGAAGTCGTGCCATGACTGCAACGCAGTCGCGGGACAGTCGTCAGTCTCAGGCACAAAAGACAATTTTCAGACGCCATCAAGTGCGGACTCCAATGCAAGCCCGGCCCCTGACACTAGTCTCAAAGACAACGACCTCTTGACGTTGATGTTACAAGAAGAATTCGACGACGTGCGATTTTAGGATGTCGATTCTATCAACAGTTTCCAATTCGAAAGTTCTCTCTGGAGGTCAATACCTGGACAGACAAGGAGAGCGAAGACGGCAGACTCCTGTGCGATACGCCAGACTCATTGCAGTTGTCTTCCACAAAATATGGAGAATACCTGCCGATTTGTGGGCGTCCCTTGTTGCGCAACTGAAGTGATGTGGCGGTGATATTCGAGGCAATGCTTACTCACCTTGATGAGCTTCCGACTTTGAGGATTGTGACGACGTGGCTGTCTGACCGAGAAAGACATGTCCGTCCGTGTAAGTCGGAGGTGGGTCCTTGGAGAGGCCGGGATGGCCGGTTAGGACCCAACCCTTCCGGTGGGCCACTGGGAGTGCGTTCATGGCACGAACATCCCCAGGAGTGGTATCAATGTCAAGAAACGAATACCATATGTTTTTCAAGTAGAGTTTATTAGGATTAGCTATTGAAACTTTTGTTGTACTCCATCGATTAGGAGTGTAGAACACCGTCATCAGTCTCATCAGGACTCCAACCAAAGGCAGCACCAGAATTGCTAGGTTGCGGAGCCAGCCATGAAGTCTGTGCTTCTACGCAAAGCCAATGTCGTAATCGTAGACCAATGATACCCAGCTATGCATGCCTTAAGCCCACTCACGGTACACATCGACGGCGGCGCAGGTGGGGTTGGATGCCGGGCCGGCGGTGATCCAGACGAGGGAGCGGTAGTAGTAGTTGCCGACAAAAGTGTAACAGACGTGCCAGCGGTAGTACGCCTCGTCCACAATGGGAGCCTGTGAGCCGGCAACGGCTTTGGAGTCGTCCTCGCGGGAGTAGATGAAGAGCTTCTCGTTCTCGTCAAAGCCAAGGGTGAAGAGGGCAGTGTTGCCGGGAGAGAAGATGGGGATGGCGCCGTTGCTGACGATTTGCAGGTTGAGCATCATGCCGGAGGAAACGGGGTCGCCATTTCCGATGGGCTGGTTCCAGGTCAGGGCGCCGAGGAGGTGGCCCTTGTAGTCGGACTGGGTCTCGTTGAGGAAGTAGTTGGTGTGGGTGGTGGGACGGTTGGCTTCCTGTACGGGCTCTGTGGTCTCGGGGCAGAGACCAGCTTGGCCGGCGCCGGAGTGGCAGGATGAGAGGTAGGTCTCGCCGGAGCCGCCGGTGCAGGGAGTGAACTTGAGCCAGAAGGGTTTGGTCTGGTTGGTAAACTGGGCGGAAGCCAGAGTGGCACCCAGAAGGGCGATGGCGTAGGTAGTCTTCATGTTGATGGTTGGAGAGGTGGTGATGAAGTGGTTGTTGGTATAGAAGTGGTAGTTGTTGATGCTAATGCTGAGGAGAACGAGATGAGCCCGGTCTTTATACTAAAATGTCGGAGGCTTTCACGTACCTTGAGAAATTCGAGAAATACTGTTGGACACCTTGAGGTTTGTGGACGACGTTTGGTGATGCGGGATCTAACCAAGGACGGATGGGATGAGGTTGGAGAAGGGCGGGGTGGCGTGGTTTACGTTAAGAGAGAGACAACTCTGGCGTCCCTTTTGCTGCTTCCGGATCAGCCAGACTTCTTTTCCCGGTAAGCCCTGCTGTCCCTCATTCTTTCCATTTGATAGATGATCATGTTGGAAGGATCTGGCGGGAGAGGAGAAAAAGAGGCGGTCGGGGGAAGGCGGAACCCCGCTAAACATACACGAGGTCCTAGCCGCATCGTAAAGTTGGTGTCACTTTCCAGGGTGACATGGACGCAAACTAGGAAACTAGGAAGTCTCAAAGGAGCCGTGGGAGCATTGGTAACGTGGTGTCGATCACCGCCCACAATTCGGCTCCGTTGATGAGCACGGAGCTAGCGCAAACGAGCCAGTAAGGGAGGAAGCTGATATCCTCGGTGCAGCGAGAAATCTGGGGAAACAGCTGCTTCATCTGATTCGGATCGTCCTTGTGTTTGTTCACAGGGTTGCATCGGGTCTGTCACTTCTGTCAGCCCTTCCGTGCCCTCCGCCCCGGCAGTGACAAATCACATTATCAAATAGCAATATCAAGCATGTCCACAAAACTGACGATGTTGACGCGTGAGTTTCTCGGTGCAGGATACTCCTCAGCAAGCCACGCAAACTCTACGCTGGTTCAGATTTCCAAGTTTCCGGCCGTGGGTCAAATCTGAGGTTGATGAACGGAAAAGAGGAGCACACATGGTCTAGAACTGCGGGCAGCAGGGCTCGAAGGGGAAGCAAGATGTTTTCCTTCCAAAAAAGAAGCTTTACAGGAACCCCACGTTCCCTGCATCGTGGGAATTGAGTTGGGAAATGGCGCTCCCCAAGGCGGGACGGAACGACGCCACATGCACGTCATAGATGACGGTGGTACGGGTTGGGCTGTTCGAGGCTGAAATGTCAGATGCAACCTTGTATTATCGGGGTGTTTTCAATATGGTGTTGCGAGACATTGCGGAAATCCGCTCAAGACTTCTGTTTTGTTTTGTTTGCTCAGGAACTTCTTCCAAGAGTGATGCGAGGGGATTAGTAAGAACAGAGCTGAGTCCCATGTGTAAGTGAGACATGACGTTGAGACCAACGCGGGTGTGCCGGCGGGCCGGTTAGGCCTCTTGGCTCAATCTTTGACTTGGTGGTGAGAAAATAGTCACGATGGAGGTTAAAAGATACGAGAAAAAGTCCGCTTCCAGCTTAACAAGATCAGCATGAGTGCATGCTATCAATCCGGAGAATAGGGACTTCCACTGCACGATCTCCAGTGTAGATGGCATTTTGTCATTGATCCTGCACGCCGGCAAGGTTGATCTCGAGGCCGTTTGCTGACTGGAGACTAGCGGGGGTTGAAGCCTTACTGGATGCGGACGAAACACCAACGCCGCTGGGCTGGTTAGGGAATCATGCATGCCCAAAGGGCCGAAGATGGGGTGTGCTGTGCGGGTTCGCGCAGGTTACGTTGCTTTTGTGACAAGATGCAGTGGAACCCCGATACGAAGTCGGGTCAGGAGGTAGGTTTTACACGGTCAAATGCCTGATGTATGTATGTATGGAAATATCTACAATCAGAATGCATAATGCGTCAAATATCTCGTTCCTCGTCTATGTAGTCGACGACGACTTCTAACCGCAGACGCCCGAGGTGGCGATGGAGTTGAGGTCCCTAGGAATAACTCCAGCAATCACACCGTCTACGACAACGTTAGCATGCGCATCACCAGACGTAATAAGGAAAACATACCTCTGTAGGACCACCGGTAATCGCCAAGCTGGGCCTTCCACGTCCAAAACACCCACCCGGCGGTGTTCTTCTCGTAGGCGTGAACCTGCGCCGCGAACCACTTCTTGTAAAAGTCCTTTTGCGTGTCGCGGTTCCAGTCGGCCGAGTTCTCAATCTCGTCGGGCGGGCTGATGCTCCACTCGCCGACGATCGTCGGGCCCGAGGCGTCGCCGTTGCGGTTGTCGTTGCACGACGTCGAGATGTAGCTGTCGTGCGTCCAGGGCACATCGTTCTTGTTGGCCCACTTGAGGTAGCGGTGGTCGTCAAAAGCGGTGAAGTAGGTGTCGTCGAGGAACTCGGTCGGGTTACCGGAGCCCCAGAGCGAGGACATCATCTGGATATGGAAGTAGTTGTTGGCGCTGACGCCGAGGCTCTTTTCGACGTTGCGGATAGCCTGAGGGTATTAGTGAGATGTACGAGGTAAGGACAGTGGTGACTGACATTGTAGCCGTTCTTGTAGAATGTGCTGCGGAGAGACTGCACAGAAGAGTCCCAGTTGGTGGGCTCATTGACGAGCTGGATCGTGCCGACATTGCGGAACTCCTTGTTGTCGTGGGCAAGCTTCCTGAGGAACTCAAGGAACTTGACGGCCCGGCCGTACTGGTAGTCATTGTAGAAACCAGGGGTGTTGGCGAACTGTGGATGGTTAGAGTATGGCCACAAGTCTAATTGCAGGAAGTCTTACTTGACCAGTGAACGAGTTCTTCGCTACTTGAGCACCCGGGGCACCGTGCTGGCTTCTTGTTGTTAGTCTTTGAAAGCGTCTCACGAGGTTGTTGAACCTACTCCAGGATGATGTAGAATCCACGGTCACTGGCCCAACCGCAGAGTCGGATCAAGTACTTGACAGCTCCCTGCATTCGGTCAGTCTGAAGTAAAACTACACATCATGGGGGCACAAACCCTTGGGAAGTACTCAGAGTTCTGGTCCACCAACGACTCATCCAGCCAGTATCCCACGGGAACACGGATGGTGTTGATGCCGTAGGCCATCATCTCATCCAAGTCACTCTCGGTGATCCACGTATCCCAGTGTTTCTGGAAGGCGGCATCAGACCTCTCCTGGCCTGTGTTCATAACGCAGTCGAACTCGGACTGCTGGCCACCGCAGCCCATGTTGTTCCACTCGTTGTTGGCGATCCAGGGCTCAAAGACAAACAGGGAGCCCAGGTTGACACCCCTGATCTTGCCAGAGGCGGTCCACCAGCGCTTGCTCACACCATCAGAGTCATCAGATGTGGTGTTCTGGTTGTCGAAAAGGCTGAAACCGCGAGTGTCCAACAGCTTCCTGGTGCCGTCGTTGGGCAGCCATGCGTGGGCGAGCTGCGTGGTGGCAGCGAGTGCCAAAAGACTGAGACGGACCATGCTGGCAATGTTTGGTGGATTGTCAGACTTGTGATGAGAGGGATGCAGAGACAAATACAATCTGTATACGAGGTGTGGGAAGACCGGCCGTCTTAACAAGCTTCTGATGCCTTCCCCGAGTTCTTGCGGGCCGCAACGGTAAACCCCAGGATTCGCCAATGAAGTGAGGAGGAAGAAGAACGAGATTATCCCAGGGGCGCAGCACCCGATGCCGTAGCACCAGCTCTTTCTTGGGGCCTGGACGCTAATGCAAATGTCGATCGTGAGGGCTGAACAGCTCTAGTGTATTTCGTAGCTCTGCTCACCAAAACCCCCCTGGTCCTTCACTTTGTCGGCATCGCTTCGCCAACCAGCGGGAGACTTTTAAGTCTATTTCCAGAGAACACGGGGATTGACGGCATCGAGCTGCAGGTGTTCATCCAATCCATACTATCCGGACCGAATAGCGACCTCAGAAACCCTGGTTCCTGCATCGTTGAATCTCTACAGTCGCACGGGCGAGCAGGATGACGGCAGGGAAATTGACGGCTGCCTGGAGTCTGGAGTTGGTCGCTAGCCCCCCATTGCCGCATCAGGCTTTACGACAGGTCGCTGAATGGCTCTTGGCGGACATTTGGAGGATCGAAAGTGAGACGGCCGGCCTAGCCCGGGGGCCAAGTTCGATTGACCTCCTTGTTGGGGTTTAGCTCCGGCTACCGGCCATGCTTCAAAGTTCAAGCTCTCGGATGGTCGACAGGGGTTTCTTGAAGGGCTGCCTGGCACCTGCAGTGTTCTTAGTCATTGTGCAGCTGCAACTGTACAGTCAGCAGCCGCATCACTCTTTTTTTAGTGCGCTCTCACAACTGACAAAACTCGACTTACACCCACCGCAATCCACATCGTGAGTCCACCAAAACTTCAAAAAAAAACATACAACACCAGGTATTCGCTGGCCGTCACCGACCCAGCTACTAATCCGGCCCTCACTGGTTTTTTCTAGATGGAGCGCGTACGGCTTTTGTCGTGATAGACCCGATACCCTTCATCTTATTAACGAAGCGGGACTTGAAGATCTTAATACCCTTGTATTTAGGGCCTAAATTAACGAACTTGATAATACTATACTTAATAAGGCCGGCAAGCTCCAGCTTAGTGGACTCCTGGAAAGGCTTACTAGGTGTGGTAATAGTACTATTTTTACGAAGTTGAGTAGCTAGCTTAAGGTTGGCCGCTTCCTTGGTTATTAAGTAGACGATAGCAGTAGTATTCCGTCTTCCCAGCGGTTAACGGATCCGCTTGCTGCGTCGGGCTAATGATTCGTCTGGCTTAGGTATAGCAATGACGATCTCATCTAGAATAACTTTATCTATATAGCCGGCACCTTTAATAGGCTAATTAGCAGGCAACCGTCCTAGTAGGCGCTTAACGTGCTCTATCGCTAGTAAGCGCTCGATATACTTCATCGCTATCAAAATATCGACTACTTTTATATACTATAGCTTAACTATAATAGTACGGAAATTAATTAAACTACTTAGTAGGTCGAGAGTATGAGTAGTGCCGTTAGTAGAGATTAGCTTGAATAGGCCCTCCCATTTCCTACCTTTCTACTAAACCTTAACGTTTAATTATGATAATAAAGTAATAATTGAAGTAATATCACTTATGAGTAGCGAGTGCGTCTATAACTTTCCTTCTGGCGTTAAGATAACGGATCTCCTTCATTGTCTTCTTAACTGCTTTAGTTGTTGTGGATCCTTGTTCTCATATTGTTGTCTATCTTGTGTGTTCTCCTTTCCAGATGCAGCCAGGAATATCCCTCATCTGAGGCACCTGGATTCCTGCATT